GTGAAGTGATTAAACAATTACATTAGTTGGTTCAAGACACCTCCTGAACAGTTAAAAACCTTCTTGTCTAATCAGGTTAAACTAACAAACTCTATGTTTCCAAACTTTGATTGGAGATATATTTCAACTATACACAATACTGCTGACATTATTTCCAGAGGTACACTGAACAAAAAAAAAGGCAGATACAGTTCTGTATCTCCTGCTCTACTAGGCCGATTGATGAAATTCAAATCGCGTTTTTCATACCTCGAAAATGTGACTTAAAATATATATTAAAATTTGTATATAGCTTTGTTCTAATATAGGTATTTTGACATAAAAATCGGACTTTTTCTGAAATAACATGCCACTTTTTTCCGTATTTTCATTCTACAACCCAACTTATGCCTAAATATTAAATTTTGTAAAATTTGGTGTGAAATTTACACAGAAATTCCAAATTTATCTTGGCGAATTTTTTTCAGTCTGTGTCACTTGGCGAACTTCTTAATTTATGGTAACCTATTTTCCTTTCTCTTTTTACATTGAGTAAGAGCGGGGAAAAAGTTACATTGTTCCTACTTTCAAATAATTTTAACAAAGTATGTAAACCACAATGGATGTTATTATTGCTTTCAACAAAGATAGCAAATTTCAAAATGCACTACTATATAAATTCACATATATCTTCGGAAATTTTGAATTTTTTGCATGTATGCTTAGAAATACATCGACTTTAAGAAGATGGTAAAAATTTTATAGGTTATAATTCAAATTTTGGTACTTTTCCGTTTCGCCGGCGCAAATCTCGCCAAGCAGACTTTATTCGCGACAACATGCAGTATACACATAAAAAATATTAAAAAAATTTTAGTTCTAAGAATTCTTTTTTTGAAGGCATAAACATTTTAATATCGCTTAAAAATTTATAAAAAGCCAATAAAGACAATAAATTTTTAAAAAGACATTAATTTAAGTATTTACTATGCTTTCATGGTTCAACATCCTAATTCGCCGGTTCATATAACGTGACTCCAAGCGATCTCATCTCACGTAAACTACTCTACAAAAATCTAATGCTTTCAGTAATTATCTACATTAATTTCAAGTTAAATCTTAATTTGGAACACAAGTTTAAATGCAAGAAATATTTCAATGCGTACGAATAGCTTACTCAGAAATTATGTAAAACTACAGTGCTTTACTTCACTAATGCATTCTCATTAGAATTGATGAATTGAACCCTTGACTTTCCTATTCTATATTTTCGGCTTCGGGTAAGAGCTGTGATTGCATCCTAATTGACTTAATTACCGAAAATGGCCCTTAGACATAAAAACTGAACTATCTGATAAAAATTATATGTAATTGTATGCCAGTATTGAAAGAAACAATCAATCTGATAAGTAAAAACTGCGACTTGTTTTGAAAATGAGGCATAAAAGGTTACCAGCGAGGAATATTCCGTTTGGCATCGGTTGTACTATGTATTGGCGACTTTATCGCTTGCGCCGGCAAAACGGAAAAGTACCCAATTTTTTTTCAAAAAATTTATAAAAATTATTTAAAAATACAAATTTTAAAAATAAATCCTAAAAAAATCTGATATGTACACCACATGACTTTTTAGTACAGAATAGTAAATTATATGCATTTTTTCTTGCATTTCATTTAAACTTATTGGATTGAATTGAATCTACTTCGTCGATAGCGCATAAACCACAATAGAATAAATGCACTCTTTAAAATTCACTCTGTTTGTTTACCATAGTGACACTCGCGCTAAGTTCACTTAACAGTGTTATATTTCGTTCATATTATAACTCAAAATACATAAAATTTATATCATTTGAAGAATTATCTAATCGTTGCCATGTGTTCTATTCAAATACTAAAATAAACCTAGAATGATGCATAAAAGAAATTATGCAAACAAAACAAAAAAGAAACAGTTTTTTACAGACGATTCAGTATTTCTCATTCAATTAATTCAGTTCTCACTTCGCAACAAGGCAAAAATACATTAAAACCCAAGATGTGTGTATGTAAAATTATGAAGTAAATCTTAAACACTTATTTTCTCGAATAAATTCCAGAATGGTTTAAGCATGATTTTATTCACAATAAAAAAAGAAGGCATTATCTTGAAGCTTACTTTCTCTAGATTGGCAACAAATCTACTATTCTGTTGTTTCAAATGTAAACAAGCAATGGTCACCATGGATAAAATTATTAGGCTTAGCGGCATTTAAACAACTTTTAAATTATTGATAATTCTAAAAATATTGCATACAGGTTCACTAAAGGCATAAAAACCTTAACCGGAAGATAGGAATAACATAATTCAATCATTTTTAAAGGAAAAAAATGGACAATTTACAAACATATAAGAATAAAGAACTGAGATCACCGAGCCGAGTAACAGAGTAGATATATATATACATATGTTTATATACTTTTGGTGCGGCTGACTGCAATCAAAATACAAGGTGCATATCTATATGTTATAGCAGTCCTATATATAAAAATTTCAACGTTCTGAGGGTACTCATTTTGAGTTAGGCATTTTGAGGTACGGGTACATACGCATATGTAGTACATATGTATGTACACACAGACGCCACGGAAAAGTATCTTCAGAATTCATTTTAAATTAGTTTTACAATTTTTTTCGGGGGAAAAGAGTCATTTATCCTGCCTTTACATAGAGATGTCACACAAAAACTTCATTAAATTGCATTCGATAGCAGTGAAAATGGATATTAGCTTTAATATATGATGCCTGAAACTTTTCGCGATTACAATATAGTACATAGTCTGTAATCCGGAAATCCATTATCTGGAATAATCTATAATACAGACCTCAAAGCCACAAACATGCATGCACGTTGGGAGAATGTTTCCAGATACGTTAAAAAATGCTTGTCATAATTTATGGCCAGCTACATATTTCATGGTGAGGACGATGAAAATGACAGCCACGAATTTGAAGGTTTTCGGACATCACAAACTAAAGGTGAAATTTTCCAGTTATTGAATTTGAAAAGAAATGTGCCGAAGCAGTAATAAATGAAGATAATATAACAGAAGTGTTTCATTGTGACAACAATGCCCCAATCATCAATCGATTAATGGATGGCGAAATCTGTAGTATGGTTCTAGATCCAGAAAACACTGCTTCCGATAGGTAAAACTTTGTAACTGACCAAGAAATTATGTCTGTTCATAGAATTAAGGAGAAAGTATTAGTGCAAAAAAACGAAGCAATTTAAACAACTTACACTGAAAGAAATATTTAATAATTTAATGTTTAAATAAATGTTAAGCTTTTTTTTTTTTTTTTTTTTTAATTTTGATACCATTTAGATCATAATTGCTCTTTATTTTTAATTCTTTAATTTCTGCATGCTATCTTACCAGATTTAAATTGATGATCTATAATCCGGGAAAACCCCTAATCCGGAATCGCAGAAGTCCCAACGAGTCCAGATTACGGACTTTGTACTGTACTTCCTTTTTACTTCATACAAGGAAGTAAAAAGAGGGGGGAATTTTATTTGCAATGAACTTAAATATTGAACTGTGAAAGAAGGAATCAAGTAACTATAATAAAAAAAGAAATATTAATAAATACGTACCAAATTGAATTATCATTGAGGAGCTTAATTTTTGAGAGCTAATTTAAAAACTACTTTACGATTTTTATAAAACTCGGCATAATTTGAGTCATAGAATTGAAATATGGAAAAAACATTGGCATGTCGTTTCAGATAAAGTCCGATTTTGTGTCAAAATACCTATATTAGAACAATGATATATATAAATCTAATACATATACTAAATCACGTTTTCAAGACATGGAAAACGTGATTTGAATTTCACCAATCGACCCAGTAGAACAGGAGATATAGAACTGTCCCCTTTTTTTTGCAGTGTACCTAAACTAAACACCTATTGAACAATTAATGTGTGGCTTACTTCTGACCAAGCAAAAGCAAGATGCGAAGCAAAACTTACATAATGGCAGAAGAAAAGAAGATTTCAGGTCACAAGCCCATGAAATTTTATATAAAATTAAACATTACTCATTAAAAAAATTAAAATTAGGTTTTGTTTTGTTTATATACTTGTTCATTAAAAATATATTTTTCTTGTGTTGAAAATATTTAACAAAAAATTTAAATCATTTACGAATTAATCACATTTCAATTAATTTCAATGAAGAAAATTGATTTGAGATACAAAAATTTTAACTTGCAAGCTCAGTCACAGAACGAATTAAACTTGTATCTCAAGGTACCACTATAGTAGTAACAGTACAATAAAAATAAAACATTTTTTATCCCTCAAAAAAACACAAAATAATAAATGGTAAGTTACTAAACTATTATATAACTACAATACAAAGTCCGTAATCCGGACTCGTTGTGACTTCGGCGATTCCGGATTAGGGATTTTTCCGGATTATAGATCATCAATTTAAATCTGGTAAGATGGCATGCAGAAATTATACAATTAAAAATATGAAACTGTAATTTATGAAATAAAGAGCAATTATGATCTAAAGGGTATCAAATTTTACAAAAAAAAAAAAAATCTTAATATTTATTTGCTTCTTTATTAAACATTTCTTTCATTGCGCGCATGCGTAAAGCATACTTTACATGCATGCGTAATGTATGCGCATTTTTTAAAAGCATATGTAAAGTTTGTGGCTTTGTGGTCCGGATCATAGATCATTCCGGATAATGGACATCCAGATTAAGGACTTTGTACTGTATTGCCTAATCATTAGCAAGAAAACTTGGAAAGTCATGGAAACAGTAAGATAATAAAATACATTTATACATAAAAATGAGATTTATAATTAACCAATGAAGGAAGTGCCTTAATGCTTAATATTAATTTTTTTTTTAATTTAGTAGCAAATTTCACACATAATATTAAAACCGTACAAAACAAATCTGTAAAATAATAATATAATTATAATTTTTAATACCTTAATTTTAAATACTCACTTGATATCGGGAACTTTGAATTCTAGTTTGAAGCAAAACAACATTTTCCCAGGCAAACAGTTGCTGTATTATATTAAAACGAGCTTCCTCAACGCTAGGATTTACATATATCACTTGATTAGTAATACGAATTTCATGAATAAGAGTCTGTATTTGGGGATCACCTCCAGGTTTATGGGCAGTAGTAGTATCAGTATCAGCGAAATCTGTTTCTTGCTGATTTTTCCCCTCTAAAGCTTTTGTCCAAGCTTTAATTCCAGCTTCGAGTCGTAGAGACAACTTCTTTTCTACCTAAATATTAAGTAAAAACACAAATTGTAAAACTTAGTATATATAATAATAAATACTTAGTATATTATGAATATACTTAATTTTAAAAAATCCATTTAACATTCCAGCTGAACAATGTACCTGAGATACTTTCTACATTTGATGAAAATGAATAAGAGTAACTACACTGATTGAAAGGTTAAAGTAACTAACATTAAAAAATAATAAATAATACAATGCGATTAATAGAACAATAAAAAGTTATTTAGTAATTCCTCAAAGGGAAAAAATAACATATAGTGGAACACACTTTATATAAATTTCACAAGGGACCATTCACAAACAACATATAAATGAGAAAGACATATTAAGGAAATTTTAATTTACCATGTCAAACATATATATATTAGCTGCACAATTTCAATACTACTAACCTACTACTGATATGAGAAAGATGTATAAAGGAAATTTTAATTTACAATGAGAAATATAAATATATTAGCTGCACATTTCAATAATACTAACCTACTACTGATATTACATAATTTTATTACTGTACTTTTAATTTGTTTAAAACATTTATTATGTTCACGCAAATTTAAAATTAATACTTTAAATAGTATTTAATTAATATTTTAAACAAATCAGCAATTTTTATTAATATTTTAAAAATTATAGTAACATAAATTTAATATTTTTAAAACCATAAGAACATAAATTTCCATATGTAGTTACATAAAATTTTAAAAACAATAGTCATACCTTTATCTGAATTATTATTTTTAATAAGTAAATTTTTTTTTAAGAACAGTTTAAAGCAAAGCTTATCTCTTTTTTTTTAAAGAAAAAGTTTTTAATTCTTATCTGATGTGTCTTTTGATTCTGAATTTTAAGCGAAGCTCTATGAATCAAATTAGTTCTTGAAATGTTTCCTTGCTTGTATTGTACACACTGAGAAATTTCTGAGGGTGTGAATGCAGTAGAATTCATTAAGGTGGATTATTTCTTCATTTTCGCCTTCTCCCTGCTACTTAAATGTTCATCTAATTGCTTAGACTCAGTTCTTCATCTGTGTGCAAGTTTGATTTCATTACATCGGCACCACAGTTTACATATTCCTCAACTAAAGTGTCCAATTCCAGTAGTTTTTAATCTTCTTTATCCATAATCAAGTTTCATTATAATTTTCATCGTCAACACTTTCCCTTGATTCTGTTTCAAAAATCCTCCTTTAACGAAGCAATTTTTAATTGTTTGTGGTCTTACTTGAGACAAGGCTAGTGAAATCATATTCGTAGCCTCAAGAATATTTAAATTTTTCTGTTTATTTCCTATAGTTGTATTTGAATCAACCTTTGCCTATACAGCATTTTTAAATTCTTAATGACACCTTGATCTAAAAGCTGAAATATAGTAGTGCGATTTGCCGGGAACAAAACAACTTTCACATTTTGCAAGAAATCTGTTGTTTAAGGCTGCTATCACACATAGGTTTGTTTCAGAAGAACAACTGTTTGGAACAATTTTTCTGCTTTATCACAACACCGTAGATAGCTTTGGAGGTTAACACAGGGGAAACTGGTTCCCCATTACAAGCAAGCTGATAGCATTCGAAGCTGATAGGCTGATTGGTTGAAAACAAACAACTTGCAATTTTTTTGGAAAGGAAGGAAAAAGTCGCATGTCTTTCTTTCAATAGTAAACCAGGCAGAAAAATTGTCCGAAATAGTTGTTCCTGTGAAACAAAAGCCGTGTGATATGGGCTTAAGGATGGGATACACTGATCAATAAATAGTATAATTTTGTGGTATTGCCTATTCACAGTTTTTTTCTATTCGGATCCACTCTGTAAAAATGTCTACAGCCATCCATGCTTTCATACTTATTTACTTTTCATACTTATTGCTTTTCATACTTGCCAATCTACGACACTCAAAAATCGGAAGAATTTTCTCAATGACAAAAAGATTTTTTAAATAATAAAAATATGTAGAAACAAAATATATTTTTAATAATGAATTAACTTTAAATGGTAACTAATTAATATCTGAAAGTTCAGTTATTATTTCTTGAATGTAAATACTGAAAAAAAAAACTTTTTTCCTAGTCGTACCTTTTAATAACAGAAAAATACTTTAATCAATTTCCCTAATCATTAAACTTTAACCAGATCACTACTCATTGATTGCAAAACATGAATTAATGTAATTCTCCACTATGGAATTATGTTAAAAATATCGAATGATGGCAAAATAGAGCGTACAAAAAAGCAAAAAGCTTTCTTATAGTCTGAAAACCAAAACATAAATATTCGTTCTTCACAAAATAAACTTAAAATAATCGGAAAATGTGTCCTTTGTCAAGCGATTTTTTTATTTTGGGAAAACTTTACACTTATATTTTGTGGTATTATTTTGAGAATTCCAAATAAATTGCTTGTAGGTGCAGAAATTACTTCATTTTTCTTCCACCTATGTCTAACAATGGAAGAAATAACACCACCTCCATTTACTTAAGTTATTTTATAACTTTCTACAGAACCTTTTTATCTTTACTGTAGAAGCAATTACTTCTTTCTTAAAAAAATTAAGAGGCGATCGACAATTCTAACTAAACAAAGATAACCAATGTGTATGTACATATTTCAATTTTTTTTTTCTGATTTCAATATTATGAACGTTTCAGTATTGTGTTGAAATTGTTTCAATTTTTTCTTCCTTATTAGCAATCTTCCAAAGATAATAATAAATATCAACCATGTGTTCAACCACACTTATTGACAAAGAAGTAAACCCTTTTCGCTGCTAAATTTAAGAAGTGACAGGCACATTTCATAATTTGCTTTTTTTAACATGCCTGCAATATCAATTTTCAAGCCTAAAATTCCCAGTGCACTCTTGGTACGGCACTAAGTGCTAAGCAATTTTCCTGAAGGATTGCACTTTCTTTTAAAGTTTTACGTTTCTGGCACAAAAATAACAGAAATGAGTGAATATGGATAATAAATTTGTTAAGAAATAAAATATTAATTTTATTATTGCAAAATACAAATGATATCACATTCAAATATAAGTACATTATTTTTTTAAGTTCTTATGTTAGTGAGATGGAAATGCAATGGTGTATTTCATTATAGAAAATTTTAAATTTATTATTTAATAATTATATTTTAAAATCGATGCTAATTTTAATATTTATCAAAGGCAAGTATAAATAAATAAAAAAGGAAAATGTGTTGGTAGGGAAAAAAGTAAGTTTAGCATTACTTACTTCTGCAAGGAAATTTACTTCTTACTGGTTAGAAAAACACACTTTAAACTAACTTTAATATTTTTGTTTATTTCTAAAAAATAGAAATAAAAGAAAATAAATAATGGAAATCATTACTGTTCTCCCATCCAAAGGTTTTTTTGTCTTCCTTTTCTTCATCAGATAATTCTTGAAGAATACGAGCAAAATCAGCTGGTTGCAACTTACAACTTTTGGACATATTTGAAAGAAGATTAGTGACATTTTATTTATGTTTTACGAACAGTTAGCTTCATACTGATTTTTTCTTTTGTCTCATTTTGCACATACTTTTATGTCAAATGGCATGGGTTAATATAAGAAGTAAAGTCATACTCAGCATGATTTTTAACAGAAGATTGGCTGTTGCCATAGCTGCTGCTTCCCTAGAGAGAGACCTGCTGATCATAACAAATATGAAAGCCTGATGTATGTACGGTTTGCAAGATTTGAAAGTAAGTTGTGCTCTGCCTGTCTGATGCAGATAGTGCCATAGCGTCGTGTAGAGCTTCTGGGGTTGCAATTCAGTTAATAGAGTTTAAGGTACCAATAAGCCACTAAGGCCCCAGAGGTCACAAGTTCTCTTGTATTATTTTAAGTCTCACTAGATGCAAAGAATAAGTTTTATTTATAAGATAATGTTTTTCATTTTTGTATTGTATCTGATAATCACAGTAAGGATTATGAAAGGCAATAAATCACTTCAATATGCAGAGATAATTTTAAAGCTTAGCAGTTAGTTACAAATAATTAAATAAGGTAGTTACGTACTCTTATTTATTATAAATTTACATGGCCACTATAAATTATTTTTTTTTTTAATTTTTATTTAAAAAAATTACTAAAATTAGAATCTAATAACATTTCACAGTTTAAAATACAGTAATTTATAACATTGATTCTTAAAAAATATTAGTATAATTACACATTAAAATACACAAAATATTGGTATTTTGTAATAACAACACATAACAAAATATTTTATGTGTTTTTTAATTTGAAGCCTTCCTTATGTGTTTTTAATTGAAGCATTTTAGCTAATTTATATAAATTTCCTTCTCTTTAACTGTTTGACTGCTACACGGCGCAAAAGCGCTGCATTCATTCAAACCGCAACGCAGCGCTTATGAGGTTTTGCATTATCTGGTGAAAGTTAAATAATTCAAAACCCCTGACAGACATGAAACAAATTATTGCTATGTCTGAAAGTAACTACAAAGTCACATAAAGGTTTAAATAAACCTCTTATTTAAAAACAACTTACAACATAAAGACATGTTCTTATGCTAACAAAATAAACTGCAGCTCGTGGTGATGTAGTTAAACATAGACAGTGAAATTCAGACTAAAATGTGAACTAGCAGTCAATTTAATTTTAAGCTAAGCTAGCTCATTAATGCTATCGTCATAACAAATACAAATGCAATGATAATAGTTACAAGCAAAGACAAATAGTTGCAAATTATCAGAGGTGGCAAAAACTAATGCAGCGTGCATGCCAAAGCCAGAAACACGCACTGTTTTACAATCCCAAAACCTCAGTTTAGAAATTATCTAACTGACTTTGCATTCTGGCAAGGAAAAGGAAAGGGGAAGTTATAGTAAAGACTGAAATTATAAACAACTGGTTAATTTATACAATAATAACTGTACATATCTTTGAAGAATAATTTTCTTTCTCTTTATGCATTCAGTTTCTTTCTTCAATACATTTCCTCTTCATTTTAGAATTTTTGGATTTAATTAAAGATTTCTCTTATTCTAAAAACTAAATACACAGAAAAAAGCTGCTAATTTTATTTCTTTAGTTATGTGAACATTTAAAACAAATACGAAATTATACATCGTAAAGCCCAGTTACAGAGCCAATGTGGCCGAATTTTTAGAATAGTGACACGCCGGGCAAAAAATCTAGAAATAGCAATACTGTTAAAATTTAGGACAGGCACTGGGAGCAAAATATTGGAAGGCACTAGGTAGCAGAACTTAGTACCCACAGAGATTGCATCAGGTGGGAAAATGACTAGCGCCAGCCATGTGTATGATGAGTTGAAACATACAAGATGAATCTTTTAAATTGTCAGTTTTCAATTTCTTTATAAATAGAAAAATTCCTTTCTATAAACATCTGTCCATGTGATAAGATTACAAGCATTTTTGACATTTTCCACGCATTTGTCTAATAAAAAGTAGAGAAAACAAAGGAAGGAAAAACATGTTTAAAAAAGACTTCTAGTGTAAGAAGTAAAACATTCAAATATTATGCTTCCATTGTTCTTTCAAAAATCTCCAAAAAGTAAGAAATTTACCACAAACTTTCTGTAAAATACACCCATTACGTATTAATACCATGAAGACATTTTTCATTTTGTCACATTTTTCTGGAATATTCTAGTGAGTGAGTGAGTGAGTGACTCATATACATATTACACATGGGGAAAACCACAAAAACGTCCATGCAGTCAGCCCATTCACGGGATTCGAACCTCGGACCGAACTACCAGTGTTCAGTGACTTTACCGCTCGGCCACTGGTGGGCTCGGAATATTCTAGAATCTTGGATTTATAAAACTTGCCTTCAAATCCTTCTAAACTTTGCAAGTTGCAATGCCTAAAATCCTAAAGAAAAATTACCTGTACCAATCCTGTAACAGCAAAATGTCAGAAAAATTTTGAGGGGGGACAAGAGAAAATGTGTAAAATCATTTTAATACAGAAAAGTGATGCATATTCTGAGAAAAAAAAAAAAAAAAATTCTAACCATGGGAAAAATTCTAACCATGAAAAAAAATTAAAAAGAAGACATTTATAATTAATTACATAGCTATTTTGCTTTTGCTAAGAATCATTTTTTAAAATGTGCTTCATTCCCTTTCTCCCTCCCAGATTCAAAATATTGCATAATAAGTCACCAAAATGGAAAGTCATATCACTTTATAATATTGCAGTAAAAAATAAAAATGTTTCATTTTAATGTTATTTCTTAAATATAATTTCAATGTTAAAATGTTTAAAAAAAATCCCAGATCTTTTTTTAAAAAATTTTTTCTATAGAAACTGATCTTAAAATCCCCAAAATGTTGATACATAGCCAAATTTAGAACCGTTTAATAAAAGAATTCATATCTCCAACAGCAAAAAGTTGTTTAAGAGCTCTTTATTAGAAAAAATTAAATGAATTTAAAATGCTCAATTTTTGCCCAGAATCTCGTGCATCTCAATGTTTGTATTAGAAATAGGAACAAATTATAACCCATTCATGCATTTAAAAAGGTAACCATACTTATCAGTGAATCACCAAAAATGTTCCTCCAAAATGCTGTCACACTCTAAATGCCAGTCGTAAAAACAGGCGGAAATTTCAGATGATTAAAATTAAGGACCTTCTGCCGATTTTGGCTGAAATTAAGGACTTTTAAGGACCAAAATCCGATTCCAAAAAACCTAAGGACTTTTAAGAATTCTTAAGCACCATATGAACCCTGTACCTCAGTGCTCTTCCTCTACTCCCCCCCCAGTCTGTCAAGATAACTTCTCGCTTAGCTATATTTGAAGTGTTCCCATGCCGTACAGGCACTATACACTTACAAACATGCATGCCTTCTCCAGGAATCAAATCCACATACGGCAGCCAGCATCACTTGATCAGAACAAGAATAAATCTTGGCTATTTAAAGCGTTAAGCATTAGCAATAACTACAGCTACTAGATGTGGCTAAGCACGCACATAAATTCTATATGTGATACAACTATTTTATTAGATTACTATTCAACATTTCTGATTTCTGTCTTACAGAGAAAGTTTTGAGCTACAACTTCTTTTAAAGATGTAATATTCATTGTGCATTCAGTGATAAGTACCAGTGAAATATTCTTAATTGAAGAAATCTAATATTATACACTTCAGAATGTTACTAAATAAGCAAGAGTTCAAAAATGCATATTAGGGTGAGAGACGAAAATGTAAACTTTAGCAAACAGTTTGCCAGTAGAAAATTACCTAAAAGCATTAATGCAAATTTTTCTATTACTGGGAATGGACTCCTCTGGGAGAAGAAATACTAATTTTTAAATCAGCTTGCCTTGCAACCAAATTAGATATCAAGGGTTCAGTTCATAAATTATTATTATCTCTTATGTTTTAATGTAAAATAACTTACTTCTTCATCTAGCTTGCTCACCCACAGATGAAGATTTGAATATTGATGGAGACTGAGATCATCTACTGCCTTCTGAATTTTATTCAGAATATCTGCAAAAACACTTGTACTATATGCACAGGTTTCAAGAGAACGAACATCTATATCAATCTGTTCCTCTATGGACAAAAGATCTTCAACCTATAAAAATAAATTCCATTAATAACTGATGTAGCTCATGCTTTGTAAGAAACCTAAACACAATAACAAGAGAAGTATAGTTCGACTTACCTTCTCTTGAAATGTGAAGACATTTTCAGCTAAACGCTGCACATAAGGATCCAATTTATAAGACTCCCATATCAAACTAAGACCCTAAAACAAAATATAAAAATAATATATACTATATAAGAATATATAGTACTAATATGAAAAAATATCTAATATGAAAAATAATATATATAAAAGAATAGTTAGTACTAATATGAAAAAATATCTGTCTAATGTTATTTAAAACTACGAAAGTATGAAAAAAATTTACAGTAGAACAAAAATATCAAACCATTAATGCTGGATTTAATTTTTTTTGCTATCTTAATAAAATAATATTCACACAACTTTTGACTGCAAGCTTCAAAATTAGAATAATTGCAACATGATAGTTGTAAAACTGGGGGAAAAAATCTTTTTATACACTACAGCACTTCAAAAATAAATAAAAGTGAAAACTCTGCTTTCCTAGCTCTAGTAAATATTTTTAAAAATAAAATGTTGTATGATCTTAAATTCATTTAGGGCGAAAACAAGTTACTACTACTTGTGCAATTGCTGCAAAGTAAGTTAATAATAATTTATTTACTAAAAAATATTGATTACTTGCTTATAGTCTTCTTCAAAAAAATTTGAGGCATTTCAAGGAATTTTCAAGGATTACTCTAAAAATTGTTTCCTGCATAGAACTACTTTATATGTTAAGAGAAATAACATGCCGAAAAAATACTAATTCAGAAGTCGAACAACAAAAATCAGTGTTGTATTTTCAAATTTTCACAGGACTAGTTTGGAAGGTTTTACCAAACCACCATCCTTAGCTGCAAAAGCACAAATGAACGAGATAGGATATAATGATTAAATAAGATAAGAAAGCTGTGATGTATGGGTAACGCCAACCAACAAAATGGATAGAGGGCGCTGGCTCTCAATCTGAAGGTGCCAAAAGTTTTAGTTTCCAAGAGGGAGACCAACAGAGAGGTCACAGGGAAAGCACGTGGAAGCCATTAATGAAAGCGAAATTAACTTGTATTACTTTATATATTTCAGTTATTAGTGTTGTAGTTTTAGTTTTATGTTTGTGAAATAAATGTTTAAAAATACGAAAGGGTGGAGTTATTTCTCTATGAGACGGTGGATGAAGAAAGGGATGATATCACACGCTCTCTCACTCGAACCAGAGCTTTAGATGACGGTAGAGAAACTTCAAGAGAAGCAGGTAGGAAGCTTCTGATTTTATTTACTTAAAGTAGAGATGCATTGAAGATATATATGTATATATATGTAAGATATATATAAATTAAAATGTATAAGAATGCCAAGAAAGAATATTTAGTAAACCTTTTTGGTGAAATTTAAGATACACAAACTGTTGGTTTAACAGTGGTTCAATTAAAAGGTAAAATTGAGGACAGTAAAATATTTAAAGATGATACAGAATTTGTAATTGGATTATTAAACTCAATAGTTTGAGGAAAGAAAAATTAGAGAAGAAATAAAAGCTAGGGATACACAATTAGCCTTAGAAGCTCAAAAAGTTGAACTTGAGAAATTAAAATTAGGGCAGCTAGAGAAAGAATTAGAACTGGAAAAAGTTAGAAGTCAGAATACAGCTAAAGATGGATCTCGTGCAGATAAAGACATGATTACAAGTTCAGGAAATTATTTAGAAAATTTGATAAAGAGTGTTCTTCTGAAAATATCGGAAAACTTCAATTTGTTTTTTCAAACATTAGAGAGAACACTCATAACTCAAAATGTACCACATGAGCTCAAATCCGAAATTTTGATTAACATTTTAGGGAATAAGGCAACTAATATATTATTTTACATTAATGATGAAGAACTAAAATGTTATGAAACATTAAAAAACTAGTATTAAGAGAATATCCACCAACTGCTTATGAATGTTTAATGAATTTCCAAAGAGCACGACGCGATCCTAAAGAGTCACATGTTCAGTTCACTTCTAGACTGTCTGCAAATTTTCAGCATTACTGTCAATTATGTGAAGTTAATGACTTTGATACACTTTGTCAACTAATGATTTCCGACAAACTTTTACAAACGTTAGATAAAGAAGCGGCAACTTACATAATTAAAACAGGAGAAAATTGGTTAAAACCTAAGGATTTAGCTAAAGATATTAACCTATATTTTGTAAACAAAGGCAAATTGTTAAACGACACCACTTTTAGTACTAACGAAAACATAGCTAAATCGTTCCACTCTTCAAGAGAATCGAAATATATTCCGCCTCATATGAGAAGCAACATAAATAAAAATAAATATCCACCCAAAGACTGTTACATATGTGGAAAATTAACGCATCTCGCTAAATCTTGTCCACAAAGAAACAAATCAGTAATGCAAAACCCTCCTCTTAAAAAAGAAACACCAGAGAAAAAATACTAGTAATAACATAATAGCAAAAATTGGATCTTCATGCTCGTCAAATGAAATTTTTATGCAACCATTGCAAAAGGTAAATATTTGTGTTGCAGGTAACGAAATCCAAGCCATAATTGATTTGGGTGCCGAGATTTCTGCTATAAATCCGAAACACATATCAAATTTCTCTATTGAGAACAACTGTAATATTGACCTAATTTCTGCATAACCATATCAGCTAAAGTGGCTAGAATTCCTATATCCATCAGAAATGCTGATAATCCTAATTTATTGAAACCTGTCGAAATATTAGTAGCTTTAACAGAAAAACTTCATATACCCTGCGTAATTACTCCAAATGTTTATGATTTATTGACCTCTAAATCACATCTGCTTGGCACGAATCGTGACTGCGACACAGTGTCTCCATCGCAGATACCGGAAGTGAGGAGTCATCAGTCAAAACAATTCGAAGGCAAAAGAAGCGCTGATTTATTTATGACAGGAGACGAGCAAAATTTAGTCATAAGTTGCATTCAGAGCGAAAACGAAAGTGAGGATAAATTAAATTTGGCTCAACATTCAGATGCCAGTATTTTTAAACAACAGCAAAGAGAATGCGAGACGTTACGCAATATCTATAAAGACACGCAAAGAAATAAAAATAAATACTTTTTAAGGGATGATTTGATTTATCATACCAAAAGAATTTCTGGAGAACAAGTTAGTGAATTGGCATTACCTAAAGTTAGAAGGGAACAAATTTTAAAATTAGCTCATGAATCTGTTTTTGCAAATCATTTAGGGATGAGAAAAACAAAAGAAAGGATTCGTTATTCATTTTATTGGCCAAATATGTCACGAGATACTGAAGAATATTGTAAAACGTGTAAGGAATGTCACTTACAAAGTAGAGAAAGAACCAACGATCGTATACCCATAGTTCCAGTTTAAAGACCTGAATTTCCATTTGACACAATGAATGTAGATATTAATCGGTCCAATTGAACCTCCATCAGCATGTTAACACAAATATGTACTATGTTTAGTCGACCAACATTCTAGGTGACCAGAAGCTGTCCCTTTGAGAACTATTACAGCAAAATCAACATGCAATGCATTATTAGAAATCTTTATGAGAACGGGCATACCTCAAATAATAGCTAGCAATCAAGGTACAAATTTTGTTGCAGAATTAACACAAGAATTCCATGCCAGATTAGGAGCAAGTCCTAGATTTGCTAGGGCATCCACAAAGTTCAGGATTAGTTGAACGCTATAACCAAGTTCTAAAACGTATGCTTCATCATATCATTAGAAACGACTCTAAAAATTGGGACAAACACATACCATACCTGTTATTCGCTTACCGCGAAATTCCACATTGTACTACGGGAGTATCCCCATTTAAATTAATATTGAGAGGTTAGAGGTCTGTTGTCAGTATTAAAATTGTCATAGTCAGGAGAAATTCCATTACCAATAAAATTGTGTAAAAGTGCTGTTGATTATCTACAGGAGCTAAAAATGAATTTAGAAATAGCAGCAGAGCAATCAGCTATAATTGCAGAATTGAAACAAGGTGCATATGCAAGATATGCTAATCGAAGGGCTATATATAAAGAATTCAATCCTGGAGATCAAGTGTACCCTGCTGATTCCAGATTTCAGTAATAAATTATATGCCAGATGGATAGGACCCGCAGAAATAGTATCTTGTTGTAATCCAGATTCTTACAGAGTCAAACTGACAGATGGTACAACAAGAAGAGTACACGTAAATAAAATTAGAAAATTTAATCCAAAGGTACAGGCAGTAGGTGTAATATTTGAGAACGAAGAAGAACTAGGAGAAGTCCTTCCTACACCCAGTGTGAGTGACAAGTCCGATCATTTTCATCTTAACGAAGTACACTTAAGCCATTTAGATGATGATAAAAGGAATGACATGACGAACTTGTTAAGAAAATATGAAAACTTATTTATACATAAGGTACAAATTGCCAAAGTAGGAGAACATAAAATAAGATTAAATGACACTGAAAGAAAGAAGCCATAAGTTTATCGAATTTTAGAATCATTGAAGCCACAAGTGGACAAACATATCGAAGAAATATTGTCATTGGAATAGATTGAAGAAAACAACACTGAAATTTCGTACCCTATTGTATGCATTATGAAGAAAGATGGTAATCTTCGCCTTTGCGTTGACTTTAGATCCCTTAATGCAGTGAAACCAGATGACTTCCCTATGGAAAATCCTAAAGAGCTCTTATTCCACATTGGAAAAGCCAAAGTGATATCCAGCATTGATTTTACTCAAAGGCTATTGGGCCATACCATTAAAAAGATAAAGTCAAGAATTAGCAAGTTTCAAGACACATCGAGCTCAGTATCAATTTAAAGTCATGCCTTTCGGGCTACGCAATGCCGCTGCAACATTTCAGAGAGTGATGAACCAGGCCCTTGCTAAATACAAAGATTTTGCTCGAGCCTACGTCGATGACATAGCAGTTTATTCAAATAGTTGGAATGAACATTTAGTACATCTTGACACCATTTTTTCAAAACTGTTAGAACTACAGTTTTACGTAAATCTCAAGAAATGTTCCTTTGCTAAAACTCATATTAAGTATCTAGGACATATTATCGGTTCCAGCAGTCATCATACAGATCCAGAGAAAGTGGAGGCTATCCAGAAATTTGCTAGACCT